GGTGGGTGTATATATATATATATATATAAAGCTAGAAAAAGCCCTAAAATAAGAATCTAAAGACATAAACATCGGAAGCTTTTTAGAATTTAGGAGGGATGTTTTTCCCATGACGTTGAGATTTTTGACAGAGTTGTTGTCTCCTTTATAATTGTTCTTTCCTCACCAAGATCGGCCGCATCCAAGATTAAGAATTTAAAGGTCCTTTTCATATTATTAAAAATAAAATAAAAATGGAATCTCCTCATATGTTTCCAAAAGCCCATGTTATTTTTCGAATTAATTGTAGTATTACGTAAGATCCACTCATTCATGGATGGATCCCTTTTCATAAAATAACATATATATATATATATATGGGACAATTTTTAAAAACTCATACCCGCTGAAGAAGTTTGTATACTTGAATGTGTGTTTATTTAGAAATATAATTATGATTGTTTTTTAAAGTATTTTTATATTTAAATATATTAAATTAATATTTTTTATTTTTAAAAAAATTATTTTTAAGACCAGTATATTAAAATAATTAAAAATATTAAAAAATTAATTTTTATAAAAAAAATAACATTTTAAAAAATATAATTTCCATCACCTTCTTGAAATTCTGAATTAGGTTGGAACTTATTTGATATATATATATATATATATATATAGACACACACACCACATCTATGATCTATGTCCCATGTATCTTACAAATACCATGATTTCCCCCATCTCTCACGTGAAAAGACAGGGTGCGAGATTGGTACAGCAATGAGTGAACACATCCATGTTTTTTTTATTAAAAAAATTGATAATAATTACTTTTTTAAAAAAACTAGAAATATATTAAAATATATTTTTTAAAATTAATATATTAAATAATCTAAAAAATAATTTTAATTTTGATAGATTTCTATTTGGTCCGTACCACCAAACAAAAATCTTGGATATGTTTCTAATATGGCAGTGATTATAATTTAAATTATTTTTTATTTAAAAAATATTTTTTATTTTTTATTAAATTATTTTTACTACCAGCATTTCATAATAATATAAAAAAATAATTTTAAATAAAAAAATAAAATTTTTAAAGAAGATGGTTTAAACCGTTTCCGGATAACCTCGTAAAATACAACTACTGTTAGCCAAACCACAATCGTGCTCGGCATCTGACAAAATGGTATTCTGATCCGATGGCTGACATCACATGGATGCTATATCATTGTCATCGGGCCCCCTATCCTCGTCGAAGAAAGAGGTCCTCCAGGGGCAGGGACCATGCTGCCATATATCATGGGGTACCTTTCACTGCCCTGGCCTTTGTTGGGCTGTTGCCCATCACTGATAGCCCTACGGCAACACATTGAGGGTAAAGGACACGCTCTTGAGCTCTTTAAAAATCAAGAAATCATCCTCTTGTGGGGTAGTAGTCTGTTTAAGGGTCTCTTTTAGCCCATTCCTTTATCCATCATCGCATTTTTTGCACGCCCTACCCCAAAGATTTAGCCTAATAGTGCATACAACAAAAGTAAAAAAATTGCATGTAGTCATTATGCCTACGGTTACCAAATTGGCCCTAATCTCGGGTAAGGGCTGATACGTCAACTCGTTTGATTTTTTTTTATGTTTTTTAAATTTTATTTTAAATAAAAAAAATTATTAAAATCAATCTAATAAAGTATTGTTCAAGTTTGATCTAGTTAATATTTATCTTAATTAAAAAAATTGACTTAAACTTGATTTTAAATTGGCAAAACCGTAGGGTTTAATAGCTATAATTATGTTTTTGTTTTCCTGATGATGGCGAGATTTTGTGCTAATTTAAAAATTCCTTGAATTAAAACAAATAGTTAAAGACTTGAGTTGAGGGTGTGACTTCATAAGAGATCTTGGATTGATAGCTTCTAAATTTCTGGAAAAAAATAAATAAATCTGGCCTTGTGCCAGAAATAATTATTTGCTCTCTCAAATTGGATTTATATATATATTATAGTTATTATCATGTGAATCAACCTTGATCAAGAAGATAAATCATGATGACTCAAGAGAATTACAGGTATTCCACTGCAATTTATGAAAACAATATAGATAATTTAAATTTAGCAGGATCATTGGTATAGAATAGGAGGGAATTCAAGTCTCTCCATGAACCTATTTTCTTAATCCTAAATTTCATTTTTTATCCTTATTTCCTGCATCAATTTTCCTTGAATTAAAACAAATAGTTAAAGACTTGAGTTGAGGGTGTGACTTCATAAGAGATCTTGGATTGATAGCTTCTAAATTTCTGGAAAAAAATAAATAAATCTGGCCTTGTGCCAGAAATAATTATTTGCTCTCTCAAATTGGATTTATATATATATTATAGTTATTATCATGTGAATCAACCTTGATCAAGAAGATAAATCATGATGACTCAAAAGAATTATAGGTATTCCATTGCAATTTATGAAAACAATATGGATAATTTAAATTTAGCAGGATCATTAGCATAGAATAGGAGGCAATCCAAGTCTCTCCATGAACCTGTTTTCTTAATCCTAAATTTAATTTTTTATCCTTATTTCCTGCATCAATTTTGATGGGATTGATTGGAATTGTTCAACCTTCTCGTTCCCTTTCTTGGTTTTTGCTTTTGTTCTCGGTTTTTATTTTTTTTGGAACTAAATTCTCATTCCCTTGCAAGATAAGTTATATTACAATAATATTAGGTGTTGCAGTCCAGTTATTGTTTTAAAATTTTAAAGTATTTTTATATATTTTTGAATCATTTAAGGTTACTGATGTCAAAAATAAATTAAAAAATATTTATAATAAAAATACTTTAAAAAACAACATTTAGCACTCTTCCAAATAATCACATATATCTTGTGACTTTATATTATGAATTGAAGCTCATAAATACCGGCAATAACTTGTCCAAGGATGGTCTTATTTTTACAACAATTCTAAGAGCATGTTGAAGGGTGGAAAGAAAACTGGGTCAGTTCAGACCAAACATTAAGCAAGATTGACTAGGACTAGGTACAGGTCTGGAATCATAATCAAATTTCTTTGTTCTTTACGCCGACAACATAAGAGAACAAAAAAAAAAAAAAAAAAAAAAAACAGAAGCCAAGCTTGCAATTTGGTGATGAATTCTGGGTCTCTAATCTGTCTTTATTTCACTGAATTAATTACTAGGTCAAAGAATAAAATCAAAGTAGACTCACAAGATCAAAATTAATTTTGGGGGGACCAAGTCGTGTATGAACTCGAATTTAAAATCTAAATAGATAAGCTATCTTATAAAATTAATTAATTTCTAAATATCCTATTCATAACTTGAGTGTTCTGCCGGCTCCATGACTATATGCTATGATTTAGAAATAAATAAAACTTGTAGAGCTTATTAAATGGCATTTGGCCCTACAGAATTCACCTGATTATTGACTATTCCATTATGTAAAGAGTTTTCTAAGAACTTAATTTATTTTCTTTTTTGCACCACTGCATGTCAAATGCACCTTTAAATAACCAGTTACCTTTGCGTGTGTGGAAGGTCACACCTTTTTTGTGCATAATTTTATTATAAATAATGTATGGATTTTTTAAAAACATAATTTAGATTTTTTTAAATGCCATATAATTATTTTTCATTTATAGTAATAATTACAATAACTAATCATGCATAGGTGATTTTGTATTTTTTCTGTGCTGCAATTTGCTTTTTTAATGGTTGCATATTTATGTTATTTTCTTTTTATTAGTAAGCGTGGAGATGTTTTATTTTTTGAGTTGATGTTGTCTTTGTAATGGCCTTTTCTTTCTCAATGTTTTTTTAATTGTTTTTGTTATAGCCTTAGTTTTTTCATTGAAACTTTTTAGTCTTTACATGACAGTACACTTTTCTATAAGGTTTAGAATGTGTTTAAGAATATAGCTGTAATTATTTTTAAATTATTTTTTTATTTAAAATATATTAAAATAATATATATTTTTTAAAAAATTATTTTTAATATTAGTGTATCAAAACGATTCAAAATACTAAACAAAATTCAAAATATTTAAAAATATAGGTTTCACTACGTTCCCAAATAATCTATTAACATTTTATTTATTAATTCACTTGTATTTATCTAATAACTAAATATTTTTTCTTGTCAAAAGATTTTCTTATACTTTTTAATGTTACGAGACAAGAAAAACATACAAATAAAAAAAACTTAATATATGTGTATGTACATATATAAACACAAATTATTACATTAATCAATCTCAACCTTTAATTAAATTAGAATGATATACACAAGTTCATTGGTATATGTATTATATATAAAACTTGCATGTTGTACACAAAATTAATATCTTACACAACTAAGACTCTCTATTCTATTTATAAGTTATACACAAAACTGATATCTTACAGGCTCTCTATCCTATTTATAAATTGATATATAAAAGGTTATAAAGTATAAAATTACATAGAATAATAAATTAATATTCAGTGTTTTCAATACCTTTAAGCTTATTTAATTTTTTGATAACGGATATTTTTTAAAATATTTTTATTTAAAAATAAATTAAAATATTTTTTTAACATCAACATATTAAAATGATTTTAAAATAATTTTTTTAAAAAATAAAAAATAAAAAAATTATAATCTTCTCAAAATTATTTTTGAAACCCAAAATAAACATCTTTAACTTAGAGTCTAATCTTGAAATTTTTAATTTTTTTTAAAAGGTAATATCATTTAATTTTTTTTTTAAAAAATATGATACCAGTGAAAAATAATAGTAATGTTTAAAGGTAACAGTACTGAATGAATAAGCAAAAAAATGTTAGAGAGAGTACCAAACCAAACTGTGGGATTGTTGCTGTCGAAAATAGTCTTCCCATTTAAGTAAAGTTAGTTGAAGTTGCTGGCCGCATTGAGTGACAAAGTGGTTAACTCTCACCTCTCTCTCTCTCTCTCGTAATCATGATCATTTAGCCAAAAAGAAAAAAAAAAATTCATAAATCCAACAAAAGGTGAAAGGTGATAAAGAAAAGTTGAAAATTCATACAAGCAAGCACCAAGAACCTGATTCAAAGAAGCTCAGAAAGAAAGAAAAAGGAGGGACACAAGAGCAAAAGCTAAAGAAATGCATATACACTAGTGTGTTGTGTGTGTATTAGATCATATTTAAAAAGATTTCAAAAGAAAACAGAGGAATCAATCAAGATGTTGTTTGTAAACAGCCTTTGTTTTTAGGTCTGCAAAACTGGGTCTTCTTTAATTACAAGGTATGTTCTCTGCGAGTTCTTCTGTTCATGTAAGCTTCTGCAATTTTGAGGCCTCTGTGAATTATGATGTTTCTGTTGCGATCTTTTTGTTGCATGGTAATTGTGTTTATTCTATGGAGATGTAAAGGGCTGTGTAGAGGTTTAAAAGGTGAAATTTTTCTCCTTTTTAGAGAGATTGGTACTGTTGGTGATCATAAGTTGATTTTTTTCTTATTAAATTCCTTCATCTGTCTTGGGATCCCCTTTTGTCTTTCAAGTGTCAGATTTTGTTTCTTGAAGAGTTTTAATTTTCTTTAAAACTAAATATATAAAAAATTCTCTCTCTTAGTTTCGAGCCCCTTCAATCTCGCTCTTTCTCTTAATTCCTGGATGGTTTAACTGTTTTTCTTACCTGGTTTTGGACAGACAACCTTGTACATGGGGAGTTTATCAAGTTCTATCCAGGATTTGTTTCTCTGGTTTTTTTATTCATTAAAAAAATAATAGTTATCTTTCATGGTTGTTTTCAGAAATAGTTCTTGCTTTGGCAATTTGTGTTTGTTTGTACATATAACCAACTTTGACCTCTTTAAGTTTACCCCTTGATTAACAAACTGAGTTGGAGCTTAATCCATTTATTTGACTGTGACATGAAAAGATGGAGGTTGTCTTTGTTCTTTGGCACAAATGATCTGAATCTAGCATGCAGATTCCTGGTTTTTTTTTTCTCATCTATACTGTATCTGGGTCTGAGTGTATGTCTGTATGTGAATTCTTCAACTAATTACTTGAGGGAATTTTGTCATCGAGCTAGTCGATTGCAGTTGTTGTAACTATTTTCTAATTATCTGTCTCAAATCTTGTTTCTTTCACCATGTTTTTCCTTGGTTAAGACCATCTAGCTAATATACCAGTTAAAAACAGAAGTCGTGAAGATTCAAATTCCATCTTCGTGTGTTTATCTGGTAGAATTTCAACTCGTATTTTCTTGCAGTGTAGTCTTTCAATGGTGTGTGGTCAGCTACATAATAATAACCTTCATATCTGAATGATTCCACCTAAATTCTTCGTTTAATGTTAATGTTGTTTTCCCCTGCATCCATATATTTCTTGTGCTATGATATGCTTAGATTCGTAACCCAGTACATGCATGCACAGGTAAGCGCAGATTCATTTGGTCCTACAGGCAGTTGATTGTGCGATTCATTTCCTCATCTGGGTGGAGACAGTAATGCTAGGAACATGGGAAAGAAAGGGAGTTGGTTTTCAGCAATCAAGAGGGTCTTTCTACCGAACTCCAAGGACAAACTAGCTAATGTAAGTTGCCATTCCTGATGCTGTATTTGAAATCAGCTTCTTTCAAAATGAGTTTTGCGTGACCAAAAATGTATTTTGTTGGGTTCTTTACAGGATTTGTTTGTTTTATCATATCATTTTTCTCAATCTTTGGAGGAAAATGAGTTAAGATTGTTATGATAATGGCTGGAAGTTTAAATTCAATTCAGAAATCTTCATGGCCTGTTAAGTTATATCCTGAAAGACAGCTGATTCCTGCTAAATTGAAGTTTGTGTTTTTTATGCTAATAAAAAGCTCGTATCTGTATGGAGTTTGGAGAGATTGGAAACCTTTGATGCAAGTTGTCCAAATGCATGTTATCATCATTGTTTGAAGATGCACCATCCTGAATTGATGAAGCAGAACGTGTACCAGGCTGCTTTCATTTTTTACTCACTCATGGCCTTCTACGTGTCTCCATTGTATAGGAAGAGAAAAATTTACGTAACCTGTTTCATGAAATTTAATATTTGTTGTTCATGCTTGGTATTTTATATTTTCTTGCCCGTTTCTCATTTAGTTTTTATTTGGATTGAAAATGATAACATTCTTTGCTTCTTCATGCAAAGTATTTTACTTGCAAACTGCTTGCAGGATTGAAAACCTATCCTCTTTACTGTTAATTACCTTGCAGGAACCGGATAAGAGAAGCACAAAAGAAAAGAAGAAGAAGGGTCGTGGAAAGCTAAGACATGGAGAGACCACTTCATTCATACCCCTGTTTAGAGAACCAAGTAGTATTGAGAAAATTTTGGATGAGGCCGAAAGAGAGCATAAATTAATTTTCAGGCCTCCCACACCTCCTGAGCAACCGACTACACCACCCTTTGTGCCTCCAAGATCTGCTTCTCCGAGGGTTGCTTCTCAAAGAGTCACCTCTCCAAGAGCTGCTTCCCCTAGAGCTGCATCTCCAAGGGTTGCTTCCCCTAGAGCAGCTTCTCCTAGGAATGCTCAACGCCATAAGGAGATATATTACAGACCAGAACCAACTCTAAGAAACCATCATGCTTCAGCAACCAAGATCCAATCAGCCTATAGAGGCTATGTTGTAAGATTCTCTTCTTACTTGTAGCTTGCATAATACGGAATACTTGATCAAGAAAAATAACAAGAAATCTGGCTGTCAAGTGTGCTGAAAAGAAAAAATATATATTTTTGATATTTGTGGCTCTATATAGTTCCTCATTTTAAGACTTCATTTGGGAAGTTGATCTATACAAGTAATCGTGTACAGGCATAAATGACTGCCAGAATGGGATTTTTACCCAGAATTGCAATTTATCTTTTGCTGCTTTTGTGCCATATCTTTTGCCATTTTTCTGGCTGATAATTGCGGGTGCCTTTGCTTTTAAATATCCCAAATTTAACATTATAGGCAATCCTATAGCATTCTTGCACGCCTCATTCATTTTGGAATATTGTCACTGATACTATGTGGTACTTTTCATGAAGGCAAGGAGGAGCTTCAGAGCTTTGAAGGGTCTTGTGAGGCTTCAAGGAGTGATAAGAGGACAGAATGTGAAGCGGCAGACGATGAATGCAATGAAATACATGCAGCTCTTGGTTCGGGTCCAGTCTCAGATTCAGTCACGGAGGATCCAAATGCTAGAAAACCAAGCACGACGTCAAGCTCAAAACAAAAATGATAAAGAAGTGGATGGTACCTTGGGCAAATGGGGCCAGTCGGTAAGTCCCTTTTTTGACTATGGTTATGTTTCTTTCCATTCCATTAAGGAGCTATATGTCTGAGAACCTAGATCAATGTGTTAATCAGTATATATTGGCGTGGGTTAAAAATAAGTATCTCAACTAAAACCTGCAAGTCAGGTTTGGCCTCCAATTTCAGATGCATGCTTTTGGTCTCTGCTTATACTTGAAGCAATATGTCTTGGTGCCCTGTTTGTTGGTAACAGGTAACCAAAAGAAACTCTGCCTTTTTCTTTAGGCCATGGTACTTCCATGGAACATGTTAGGCATTATCCCTCTGATCAATGCATGGTTCCTTTAGAGGAAAGATCTCAGCACTTCTCACTCAGAGCAATGTTTAAGTACATCCTGTATTCGAATGCAATGGAGGTTCAACAGCCCTTGGGCTACACAATGGAGGCTAGCCCTCCTCCCCACCCCTCCCAGGATTTGAACCTCAAACTCCACATAGAAATCCCAAATCTTAGCCATTAGGCTGTCCATTGGAAGTAATGCTAAAGTATGTCTTTAGCTTGTTAATGAAAGAGTGATTTTATGATCGTTGTTGTTGTTGTCTAAATAAAGGCAGCATTATATTTGCTTCTGTGTCTGTTCGGTAATAACTGGGGGTATTGGTATATAGCCTGAGGCAGGTAATAGTGAAGACTGGGACGACAGCATTCTGACAAAGGAGGAAATTGACGCAAGGTCGCAGAGAAAGGTGGAGGCAGTCGTCAAGAGAGAGAGGGCCATGGCTTATTCGTATTCCCACCAGGTATTTGCACTAAATGGCTCTTTTACCTCCAAAAACATTGCAGCTCATTTTCTTTCTTTTTTTTCTTTTGGTTACAATCATATTTCAATTTTGCTTTAACATACTATATAGGAAATTAATTTAACATTTACTGTTGAGTTAAGATTGCTATATCTCATTGTAAGCACTGTAATTATGTAGTTTTGAAGATTGTTTGTTATAAAGAATACAACCCAATTGCATGAGAAGCAAATCATAGAAGGGTTGCAGGATAAGCTATCAGGGATGACATTTCTCATTTCTATTAGCTTGATTTCAGCTAGGACAATATGTTCTCCGAAACTTTAAGTCAAAGAACAATGAGCTGGAGACACAATTGTTCATGATATATGAAATTCAAGACCCAGAGTTATTACCCTGTGCAAGACTTGCACCTACCCATTGATCCAGTAGTGTTGGGTTATTGCCTGGATCATCTTGGGAATTAATTGAAATTATCATGACTGATGCTACCATGAAGCTACGTAGTATGCTTTGAAGAAAAGGAATACATCTCAGTATATTTGTTTTCTGTTTTCCAACAGCTGTGGAAAGCCTCACCAAAATCTGCTCAGTCAGCTCTCATGGATATCCGTTCCAATGGATTTCCATGGTGGTGGAACTGGTTAGAACGTCAGCTACCTCCAACGAATCCTCCTGAAAGCCAAGCCTTGAAGAATTTTCAACTTACACCGCCAAGGCCACGTTCAGATATAAAGCCTAGCCCAAGACCCCCATCAAGTAGCCAAAAGCAACAACATCTGGGGTTTGATAATATGGATACTTCCACACCGAGATCCTCAAAATCAACTGCATTTGTATCAACAAAACCAGCGCGAACTCCTCTACTCAGAACTCCACAAGCAAACAGCCCTAGCTTGTCTAGATATTCAAGAGCAAGAGCCAGTGGAGGGAATTCTCCTTTCGACTTGCCATTGAAGGATGACGATAGCCTCACGAGCTGCCCACCATTTTCAGTGCCAAACTACATGACTCCTACGGTCTCAGCCAAGGCAAAAACAAGAGCTAATAGTAATCCCAAAGAGAGGTTTCCAGGGACCCCAAACAGTGAAAAGAGGAGACTCTCGTTCCCGCTCACGCAAGGCATTGGATCTTTCAAGTGGAACAAAGGCTCCTTCTTCACCAGCAAGGATTCAAGCTCTCAAAGGGGTTTAGATAAGCATCAGTCAATTCAATCCATAGGAGATTTGAGTGTGGATTCAACCGTCTCGATGCCTGCTACGGTTGGACGAAAGCCATTTAACCGATTTGTGTGATTTTTTTTCCTCATCTTTTTAACACCTTTTGTTTCCCGCATCTTTCGTGTTATTTGATTGAGTGCATGGTGATATCAAGCTACAAAATACTGATGTAAACATAATAAAGATACAAATAGGAGATGATGGTTTGAATGTAACAGGGTTTGCTTTAAAGAAAAAAAAAATACAATGACATTTTTTGGATTGCTTTAAACATTTTATCTGTTCTTGATGACAAGGAGTACATGTTGTGTTGCTTTTCCTGAAGAGGGAAAAATCATTCCTTCTAAAAGAGAAGAAACCTGAATTCATGTGAGAGTTCTTAACTCGTATTTTTAGAAAGTTTAAATTTTTTAAAATAATTTTTTAAATTTATTTTAAATTAAAAAATATTTTAAATATAATTATAATTACGTCCCAAACAGCTGTTGTAAAATACAGTTGCTGCTAGAACATGGTTTCACGTGAACTCCCACGCCCTATTTGTTCACAAGAAGTGTCGGCCGCTTCATTCAGGACTCATATCCTGACACTATCATTTTCACCCTTTCGTTTTTTGACATTAATTGTCAAAGGGTATAATGATTAGGTAAATTGATTGGATTTGGTAGGTAGGTGTGAAAAATAATTTATAAAAATAAAAAAATATTATTTTAATATATTTTTAGATAATAAAATATCCAAAATCCAACAAATAATTATATCTTACAATATCTAAAATCCAAAAAATAAAATTTAATTATGTAAAATTATAAAATATAAATTTTTAAGTTTTTACTAACCATTACCATTCCTTTTTTTTTTTTCCAGTGCTTACTTTTTTTTTTCATTAACAGTCTATTTAACTATTACTTTAAAAACTATGAGGAAAATATTATAGCTTTTTCTACATTATTTTCTCTTGTATTTTATGTTTTTTTTTTAATTTTTATCTTTTATTTCCAAGATTGTCTTTTTTAAAAAAAAATAGTTGAGAATTTAACTCTGTCATTTAAAAAAATATTGTGAATTGCTATAATATTTTTCTATATAATTTTATTTTTTTATGATTTTTCTCTAAAATGATTCCTTTTTATTTTTTTTTTATATTGAGTTGGTTGAGATGATTCCTTTTTAATTTTTTTTTTATATTGAGTTGGTTGAGAATTTAGCTTTGTAGCTTTTTAATAAAAAAATATTATAAATTGCTACAGTATTTCTCCCATATGGTTTTTGTTTTGTTACAATATTTTTTCACATGTTTTTTTCATAATTCTCTTTGTTGATTTTTTTTTTTATTTTGAGTTGGTTGAGAATTTAGCTTTAGCTTTCCCCACATGATTTTTTCCTTTATTTTTACTTTTTTTTAAGAAAATTATCTCTCTTTGTTTGTGTTTTTTTAGAATTATTTTTATCAATTTTATTTATTTTTAGTATTAAGTTGGTTGAGAATTTAACTTTATAGTTTTTTTCTTTAAAACACATTTGATTGCTATACTGTTTTTCTACATGATTTTTTTTGTTTTCTTTGTTTTTTGTCGAGAATTGTCCTTTTAATTTTAGCTTTGTAGTTTTTTTTTGAAAAAAATATTGTGAATTGTTATAGTATTTCCTCATATAATTTTGTTTTATTACAGTGTTTCCCCATGTGTTTTTTTATAGATTTTTTTCAAAACTTTCTTTACTGAATTTATTTTTTCATACAAAACTGGTTAAAATTTTAGCTTTGTAGTTATTTTAAAACACTGTTAAATACTAAAATATTTTCCTCTATGATTTTTTTTGTTATATATTTTTTTAAAATTATCTTTATTAATTTTTTTTTAATATTGAGTAGGTTGAAAATTACAATGGTAGATTTTCTCATGAAACACTATAGATGACTATAGTGTTTTCCTGCATGTTTTTTTCCTTTTATTTTTTATGATTTTTTTAAAATTATATTTATTAAATTTATTTTTTTAATATTAAGTTGATTGAAAATTATAATTGTATATTTTTTACAAAACACTATAGATTATTGCAATATTTCTCTACATAATTTTTTTTTTGTTTTTTCATGATTTTTTTAAAAATTATCTTTATTAATTTTTTTAATATTAAATTAATTAAAAATTTAGATTTTTAATTTAATTTTTCTTAAAAATATTATAAATTACAGCAATAATATTTCTCTGACAACACATAAATATATTATAAGTCCACAGCACGCAGCATAGCAACTAGTATGGCTATGACTTCTTGTGTTCAATCCTAGCCTCAAATTCAGTGCCAAGTGTTCACAAAATAGGCTGCCTTTGCAGCTTTACTGGACTTTCGCTACCTTGCCTGGACTTTTGGCACCTATGCTGTAAAACACGACAACTAGACTTCAGTCTCCAAGCCGCCAGAAGTCATAAAATAATGCACCCACAGCACCATGGCATGGCTTGCTCCCAGTGCACGCATCTGTGCCGATCACATTTTTAGAGTATTGGGGGGCGGTCTGTAGTGTATCCCGGCGGTAAGAATATGGGAACTTGTAGACGGTGGCTCCATGGATGCGGAGAACTTATCTGGACTCTCGAGCAAAGGGATGAGAAGCTCAGGATATTTATCTTCTGTGGGTTAAATCCAGAGAGAGCATAAAAGTGAAAAGGCCCCAAGCAGGGAGACGATGGAGCCAATGTCTCTGCCGCCTACCCTCCCATTTTGCTCTTTGCTTGGTTTTTTCTTTGGTTAGATGTCTCAAGGAAGGGAATCTTCAGACCGTGCGATGAACTTGAAAACATATCTCTCTAAAGATATTTGATTAGTTGTTATGGACGTTAGTTTCAAAGCATGAACTCTGTAAGTTGAAAAAAGGGATAACATTAAGGCCGGCCTTTTAATGCTGCCTTTGGTTAGAGTTCATGTCATGATTTTAAAATGAATGTTTTATACTCTCGAACTTAAAAAATATCGTAGTAATTAAATTCTTCTTTATATTATTATGTACTTAGGGTTTTTTTTGGTATAGTTAGAGCTGTGATTTACCCAACTACAAATTCAATCAAGTTTAGTTAGTGCCTGGAAGTGTGGTTGTTATTGCTTTTCAAATAGCTTTTCGTGCCAAAATGCATGTCAACGATATTTTTTTATTTTTTAAAAATTATTTTTGACATCAGCACATCAAAATGATTTGAAAACATTAAAAACATATTAATTTGAAGTTAATAAAAAAATAAAAAATTTTCAAATTTTTTCAAAAGCGCTTTTGAAACGCAGAAACAAACAGGAATAAAACAATTATATGGTTTTGCATGGATCTCACTTTCTTGGATATTGATTAAAAAAATTATTTTTTATGTAATTTTTTTAAATTATTATTTTTAAAATATAACAATAAAAACCATATGAATGGCTTCATTACTAAGTATAAAAAGTTATCCCTTTAAAACGACACATGAAGAAGGTATTAGTTGTTATGCTTACATGTTATTGCGGGTTTATAATATGTTTATGTGTTGTTACTGATTTGTAAAAAAATTATAACAAAAAAATAATATGAAAAAGCACTTTAGCAATAAACTGTGTTTAAAAAAAAACTACAAAGTTAAATTTTTAACCAGCTTAATATAAAAAAAAATATTCAACAAAGATAATTTTAAAAGTAAAATAGATAAAAAAAAAACATATAATGAAACACTATAGTAAGAAAAAATCATACGAGAAAACACTGTAGCAATCCACAATATTTTTTTTAAGAAAAAAGTTATAAAACTAAATTATTAACCAGCTTAATATAAAAAAACTAAAATTGACAAACACAATTTTGAAAAGAAAACAAGGAAAAAAATCATATGAGAAAACACTGTAGCAATCAATAGTGTTTTAAAGAAAAAATCACAAAGCTAAATTCTCAACTAACTTAATATTAAAAAAATAAAATCAACAAATATAATTCTAAAAAAAAACACAAAAAAGAAGACAATTTTAGGGAAAAAAAGCAAAAAAAAAATAAAAAAAATAAAGAAAAAAAAACATGTAGAGAAAGTTAAAGCTAAATTCTCAATTGGGTCAATGTTAAAAAAAAAATTCAACAAAGATAATTTTGAAAAAAAAAAACATGTAGAGAAATGTTGTACCAAAACAAAAACTATGCGGGGGAAATACTATAGTAATCTATAATATTTTTTTTAATATATAAAAAACTATAAAGCTAAATTCTCAACCAGCTCAATATAAAAAAAAATTGAAAGAATCATTTTGAAAAAAAAATCATAAAAAGAAAGAAAAAAAATATTGGATAGGTATTTGGAAATTTGATTTTGGATCTAAAAAATCTTTTTTCAATCTATTTTCATTTAAAAACACCTGGTAAATATTATTACCATGCCAATAAATCAATCCAAAATAAAAAAATGAAAAAAAAAATCTTTTTTAATCTCAATCCATTTTTTCAAGCAAGTTGAAAACTTAAAAACATCTCAATGGACTTTTACATAGGAAAATATTGTAGCAATTCACAATATTTTTTTAAATAACATAAGTAAATTTTCAACCAGTTTAATATTTAAAAAAATAAGCAAAAATAATTTAAAAAAAAACATAAAAATTTATTTTTTTAAAAAAAAATCAATCATGAGAAAAGAAAAAAACATGTAAAAAAACATGTAAAAAAACAAATAAAAATATTAGTAAAACATACAAATTTGTTTTTTTTAAGTTGATCATGAGAAAAGAAAAAAAAACATGTAAAAAAAACTAAAAATATTAATTAGTATAATAAAAATAAAAGGCGTGGAGAAAGAGCTATATTACTTTCCCTATATCTTTTAGAGTATTGTTAACATACAATCCTAAGAAGATCTTGGTGGTAGTGGTTTTATTAGAATGTAGTTATGGTTGTTTTTTTTAAATTATTTTTTACTAAAAAATATATTAAAATAATATTTTTTATTTTAAAAAAATTATTTTTAATATTAGTGTATCAAAATGATCTAAAAGCATCAAAAATATATTAATTTTAAGAAAAATAAAAAAATTAATTTTTTAAAATATAAAAATAAATAAAATTTTAGAAATCATGGTAAACATAATACAACACCATCTGAATCTAATATTATCTTATTGTTTGGTATTGTGGTTGGAACTATGTTTTGTTCTAACCATAATTTATAACTGTTTGGTAAACATTTTTGAACATGGATTTTGAAAATGGATCCTACAAAAAATTAAGTTTGTATTGTTGGTTTTGGTGAATTAGAAAATTGT